ATTGCAGGAATGCCATCCAAGGGATGCCCTCCAGATAAAGTTAGTTATTATACTGTGATGGCTTTCCTCTGTAAGGAGAAAAAAGTTGAGCAGGTGAAGTGTTTAATGGAGAACATGGTTCGGAATAGTAGCTTGATACCAGATCAGGTTACATATAATACACTTATCCACATGCTTTCAAAGTATGGACATGCAGATGAGGCTCTTGCTTTCCTTAAGGAAGCAGAAGACAAGGGCTTCCACATTGATAAGGTTGGGTATAGTGCAATAGTTCACTCATTCTGTCAAGAGGGGAGGATGGGTGAGGCCAAGAGTTTAGTCATTGATATGTACTCAAGAGGATGTAACCCTGATGTTGTGACGTATACTGCTATTATCGATGGATTTTGTCGCTTGGGTAGGATAGATGAAGCAAAAAAGATGCTGCAGCAGATGTACAAACATGGGTGCAAGCCAAATACTGTATCATATACAGCTTTGTTGAATGGCCTCTGTCACAATGGAAAATCATTAGAGGCAAGAGAGATGATAAATGTAAGTGAGGAGCATTGGTGGACCCCAAATGCGATCACTTATGGTGCCGTGATGCATGGGCTCCGTAGGGAGGGAAAATTTTCTGAGGCCTGTGATTTGACCTGGGAAATGATTGAAAAAGGGTTTTTCCCAAATCCAGTTGAAATTAACCTGCTAATACAGTCTCTCAGTCAAAATCAGAAAGTAGTAGAAGCTAAAAAATATTTAGAGGGGTGTCTGAATAAGGGGTGTGCCATTAATGTTGTAAACTTCACTACTGTAATTCATGGTTTTTGTCAGATCGGTGACATGGAAGGTGCTCTATCTGTGCTAGACGACATGTACTTAAGTAACAAACATCCTGATGCCGTCACATATACAACATTGTTTGACGCATTGGGGAAGAAAGGTAGATTGGATGAGGCAGCTGAATTGATTTTAAAGATGCTTAGCAAAGGTTTGGTTCCAACTCCTGTAACATACAGGTCAGTTATCCACCGTTACTGTCAATGGGGTAGAGTAGATGATATGTTGAACTTATTAGAAAAAATGCTTGCTAGGCAGCCATTTAGAACAGTATACAATCAGGTTATTGAAAAGCTTTGTGATTTTGGGAACCTTGAGGAGGCCGAGAAACTATTGGGTAAGGTATTGAGAACTGCATCAAAATTTGATGCTAATACATGCCATGTTCTGATGGAAAGCTATCTGAATAAAGGGATTGCTCTATCAGCGTATAAAGTGGCATGTCAAATGTTTAGACGGAATTTGATTCCTGATTTAAAATTGTGTGAGAAAGTGAGCAAGAAGCTGGTGTTAGATGGTAAGTTGGTGGAGGCTGATAACCTTATGTTACGACTTGTTGAGCGTGGAATACAACAAAAATAAGATGCATTTGTAAAGTTAGCTGCTATGCTAAGATTAAGCCTTGTAGCGAAGATTTTGTTTTCATTTTCCTTTGTTGGTATTCTATCTTGCTGCTTCAATGTGGCAAGGCATTTTTTGGGAAAAAATGATTTTATTTAGAGAATGTAAATTTCGCCCATATAACCATCATAGATATGATTTAGATAATTTTACCATTTTTAAGTTCATTCACAAATTGATTTCTCTTTTATGTTGATAATGATACGCACATGCACTAGAGCACACTGCAGGTTCTATTCTAAACATCAAACTGATCAACCACACCTCAACGTAAGTTTTATGCACTCCAAAACATATGCCTTTTGGTGGGAAGAGACCAATATTTCATACATATTGTTGACGTAATGAATTTTAGTTTTCCCTTTGAAAAATGGTTTGGGCAAAAGCTGTAGTCCAAGGTTTGGAGATTCTCTCAACTGAAAAGTGAAAGCCAAACGAACTAGTCAGTTTCTGCTTGAAATTTTATGTTTGAGTTATAGGCTTTTAATGAAGGATTAATTGCACATTAGCAGACTTGAATAATTTCTCCTAGTAAACATAGGGTGGAGCTTATAGGGCGTTGCTATCATAGAAAGAAGGATGGATCCAACTGCAACTCAACCAGAACTTCCCCCCTTCAGGTATACTTGCCTCAGATCTGAGAACTACTCCATTGCATAGATGAGATCAACAAAATTGGGCAGAGTAATAATAGGCGCAACTTTATGAAATTGCCTTGTTTATCTAACATTTGAATTTAGATGTAATACATATGCTCAGAACCATGGTTTATGATTTAACATTCCAATAGATGATATTTGTGCTAAATTAGCATACGGACTGAGTGAAACATAGAAGGTGCCATTTGGAAATCATATTGCAGATGCACTTCTTGCTATGCTCATATTTTTATTTTTATTCTTTTTTATGTATAATCATATTTTACCATAGTTCGGTCATTGTTGTATTCTTTTAATATCTTTTTAAAATTTAGTATGTGAATAGTTAATGTTATTGTTTATTTTCGTTTATCTCCATGTGATTTTAATAAGTTAGAGTACACAATTTGGAGACTCACTATCTTTATTCTCACAATACTTTCTTTACATTTTCTCTTCTATTTGGACAAGCACTTCACACAGAATCTATGGAACTAGCTAGTAAAAATAAATTTCACTCAATAATAAATTGCATTCCTTTTTATCAAAGTGTATATTATAATTAAAATTCATTTTGAGAAATAGATGATTAGGAATATTAACTATACAAATAAGAATGTAAAGGAGGATAGTTTATATGGTTTGACGGGAAACTTTTTGGTTGCACCTCCAAAGGAAAAAGAGAATAGTATCGACAGTATTTAATATTTAATTGAGTAAGAGTGATAATCTCAATATTCTAATTTATAATATAAGATTAAAAAAGTTATGCGAAGGTAAAAGATAAAGTAGAAAAGTTAATTATTGAAATTTTATAAATATATAGTAAAGGAAGTCGACAATGGTAATATTGACTTCCATTTAAATATATAAAGGTGTATAAAGTGAGAATAATTCTGACTTTGGAAATATTGATAACTTTAAATTGTTATACAACCATTAATGGATGACCAAAATTAAGATTATTTAGTAATTACATGATCACTTAAAAATCTCATTCGCATTTTTTTAATATTGACTAATTAAGTGAAATCTAATGAGGCCATCGAAAAAGCTAGAGGCTAGCAAACGCCATTTGTACGAAATCAAGGTTTGGATAAAAGTTTATTATAAAACCATATATATGCATACTATTGAGTGTAATTGATTCCAAGTTTAGGTCACGGATATTATAAAACCATACATATGTATACTATTGAAAAATAATTTTCCTTTTCCAAGTGTACGTCACTGATATTATAAAACCATACATATGAAATAAACTGAGCTTAAATTAATAGCAAACAGGCTCTATACAGGTGGAAACGAGGAACTGAGAGCTGGTGTTTACAAACCACAAAAATACGTATTTGAATAAATAGTGGAAAAATAGAAATGTCTACTTTTACCCCATTTGATATTTTTGAAGTCAAATTCATTACTCGGACAAGTTGGATCCGCACGTCCTCCAGTCAATCTATAAACTTAATCCGAGTCTGAGTCTGGAAGAAGTAAATATTTGTAACATCCGTGTCTATTACTAAATTTAACGTGATTTTTGGGTGTAACGATAGTAACCACAGCCATTCCAAAAGCAGGAAAAGTATCTTATACGTGGGACTTGCGAGTTATGACTTAACGAATTATTGGAACTGGGAACAGGAAATAAGGCAGAGTTCTGGCTGATAAATGGCAACCAGTCAATGTGTCTCTATTTAAAAATCGGTAACTTATTAGATGTTATAAATCAATTTTTCTGCTTCTCTATCCACCAAAAGTTATCACAGAAAATGGGCAAGCCTGACTTAAAACATGCTGTAAAAAACAGACAATAAATTCATATATATAGATAGTTCCGCGGCGCTAAAATATTCCATTAAACAAAAATACTCGAGAACAGATAAAAACAACCATGTCCTAGCAATGATCTAAATATAAAAGACCAACTCACAAAAAATCTCAAGCTTGAACTACAGTCAAACAAACTTCATAAGAACCAAAGAAATGCTTCTCCTTGGCTTCTCACTCAGTGTCTTCACAGGTCTTGAACACTCAAACCTGAAAAACATCAAGAGCATTACAAGTTGTAGGGCATAATATGACCAAGACCATAAGCATCATAATTGTCCCAGTTACTAAAGATTAAGCTGTCAAAGATTTAGTTGGTTATAGAATGTTAATACCCTCATTCATTTATTTGACAATATCATATATCACTAGAGTCAAAACTGGATTATCCTAAAGCATGATAAAGGTAAAATCTCAAACTTTAATTTCATTACTAACCTGGAGGAAGTGATTGCTTCAATTTATCAGCTTTCTCAGGGTCAAACACACAAAGTGTGTAGAGGTACTTGGAGCATCGCACCTTGAACTTAACCACATCTCTGCTCCTCTTAATCTTCACCGACCTCGCATCCTTCCTTCTGGCAGTGAGAAGGAAATCCTTAATCTCGTGGATTTGCTTAGGCTGCATAGAAAAAGCACCACACAAGTATTAACAGCAATTCCAAAAACAGTTACCAAACTATTAGTTCTACAACCCTATACTACACAAAATTAACAGTAATAGAGATCACAGAGCATAATAAAGCACCAATGTTGACATTGGAAACACACACTGATCTCTCTGAAATCTAAACACCTAAATCAGAGTACAACCCAGCAATTCCTGAATCTAATTACGCCCTCTCAACAAATCGACTGCGTTAAACTGTCACTAACCTATATGTAAAAACATAACTTCATCTAGCTTCTTTGCACCAAGTAATTCCACACAATAATAGGTGTTTCAACATTCATTTAAATAAACTCGATTGAATAGAGATATTGGTTATTCCGTTTCCATTAGAAGAATAAGTGAAAGCAAAGAAGAAGTAAAAGAGAAAAGAGATGACCATGGTTACAAGATGCACGGCGGTGACAGAGAGCAGAGGCGGAACCAAATGTGATGTAAATTGTAAAACGCAAGAGAAGTGCAACCTCATAAACTAAACCCTAACCCTAGAGTTTCTCGATTTCACTGGGAAGCCCAAACCCTGTTGTCAAGCCCGTTCAGTAGGCCCAAGTACAAGGGAAAGAAAAACAAAAACAATTCTTCTTCTCTTTTTTTTCTTCATTCCAAACGTATTCACTTTGATTTAATTTTTGGTACATCATTCACGATATCATTACACTAAAATTCAAAATTAAGAATATTCTTATTTTTTACATACTATATACTATATATATCAATAAACTAATTGGGCTCCAAAGAGTAAAAGGTCTATTAAACGGTTTTGCATCCAGTATCCAAGTTGGGCCAAACATTTGTTTATTAAAGAATTACTTTCTACACTCAATTTTTATTTCCTGCACCTATTATATATATTTACTATATCCATTTGGTAACAAATACGAGGAGTGCAGGAAAAAATAAATAAAGGCGTGTAGGAACTAGGAAGTATTTAACTGTGTAGTAGGACACACTACAAGAAATTTACCATATATTGACACACACCCTTCGGTGATATTATACATGTCACTAAAAATTATTTTTACTCACACAATAACTATAATATATGTTAGTATATTATTAAAAAATGTAGATATAGGCTATAATGACACATAAAATATGTTAAATCTCATTCAAAATCAACACTAAAATTATGCGTAACTATATGTCAAATAGGCACATACTTACATATATTATACTTATAATGACACTTTTAATTTGTATGTCACTATATGTAACATTTCTTATAATGAAAGATCAAAGGAGAGTCCCCAACCCCTCAATACTATTTTTAGAAGAATATAGATTCCATATTTGTATGAATAATATGTAGTGTAATACTAACATGCGTTTGATTTAAGTGGAATTCGATTCGGATTTCTTAGTATTTTTCAACGAATATTTACAGACTAATTCTTTTTAAAAATATAGAGATCACCGATGTGATTTTTCATATGCACAATTAGGAAATAGATTGACAACATAAAATATTATTTACATTCTCATCCAATTACATATTATTATATGTTGAAATTTTTTTACTTTTGAATAATTACTTTAAAAGATATCTTTAGGTTGATTTTTAACTTATTAATGGTATAAATTGAAAATATTTATATGAATAATGTATTAAAATTAAACACTTATATTAATTTGAAATACATAAATAAAATGTTGAATAATTTAAAATTTTGGCATACAAAACTTATATGATAAGTCTCTTTTTTATGACAAGATGGTATAATTAATTTATACGGAATCAACTCATCTAAAAATAAAATGTATTTTCAATTACAACTCTAAATTCAAGACAAAGTTTGCACTTCAATCATTTATTAAATAACACAAATATTAAATAACTTGTACTAACAATTATTTTTTATATATCATTTTAACTTTTAATTGAAAGAAAAGTTTTAGAATAAAAGTATCTAGTAAAAAGTTATCAAACAAAGAAAAGTAGGAATAATCCACATAAGTTGATTCCTCTTAATTTAATTATATTTGTGTCTTTTATCTCCGGTACATCACTTACATGTTTCATAAATCAATCTCGACCCTTTTTTTTATTTCTTTCAATGATTAATAAACTCTATCGCTTTCTAATTTCTGAACCAATTTAGTTAATTTCATGATTGAAATGCCTGAATCGCATAACATGAACATGGTACATTACCGGACATTCCCAAAGTAACATGTTTTGGCCTCCCATTCAAGAGAAATTGTAAACGCCAATACCTTATAACAAATTATTGCTCCTTAATTAAGCCAGCGCAGGACCTCTGTGGCATGAATCCGTACTTCGTACACAAGACTCATTAGCCCAATTTGTTTTACTACCTTTACAACATTGCATTGCCAAGTTCTTATTATCCTTTTGTCCTTCTCTCCCTCCATAACAACTAAACATGAATAACTTACAAAACAGTCAACCCTAGACGAAAATTTACGTCCTAAAACAACTTAAAACCTTTTTTAGATAATTAATATGATAGTTACATATTTTTGTGGCGCATGCATAAAAATTTATGATACACGAGCGTGGCAGATGCAAGTGCAGCATCAATTTTGTGCAGTGGGAAACAAGAAAAGATAAGGTGCACATGTTAAGAGAGGTTAGCTAGTACAAACGTTTCTGGTCATATTGTAGGTGACACAGGAAAACCAGATAGTAGAGTCAGTCCGAAGAAACAAAAAAAGAAAAAGAGGTGAATCAAGAATAACTCTCCACCACCTAACAGAATATGTTGGCAGGACTGGTTAGGTACTTTGTATTTACATGATCATATCTTGTAAAAACGATTTATTTAGCGAGAAAATGATATTTAATATTTTCTATATGTAAAAAATTTGTTGAGTCAACAATTTCAATACTATAAATAAGATTAGTGTTTGAATCAGAACTATATATATATATATATGTATATATAAAAGGTGGGGTTAGGGCTAGGGTTGTTGTGTTGCGAGCCCTACCTTTTAACTGGTATTATTATTGTAGATAGTGCCCTACCTGGTCACCATTCCATACCCAGAAAAAGGGTCCATCAAAATAGGGGAGCCCCACAACATGCATGCATCAAAACAAATTGTACTAACCAACACTCGACTCCAACTTCTTTAATCACCCATTTTCCCACAACTCAAAAAGCTGGCCTCAAGTAGGCTCCTTCCATTTAAAATGTGAGACTATTTTCAAAGAGAAAAGAAAAGGACTAGAAACTGAAATCATTAAGTGAATTATATGGCACTGTACGGTGTGAGAGAATGAAGTTCTCACTGTCAAATCTGCCGACATCAACACGTTCTAAGATTTCTTTTTCACCAACAAATATTTGATCAACTCATAATAAAGAATAATCTAGATGTGTAAAATTTTGGGGACTGTACGTCTCGATTTTGTTCCGATCTCGTCGTATACAATGAAAAATTTTATTTATACAAGTGATTTTGTTATGTAGTTGGTTAAGGAATAAGGATCAAGATCTCCTGCAGTTTATTTATTTTATTCAATTGCATGAATCTCAATCATTAATATATGTTTACGTGTATAAATAATCATAGAAAAACATAATTAAAAAAATGGATGGTGAAAAATTGAACTGCAACCCCATGCAGTTCTTTTTCTAACTGGGGGATCCGTACACGTCTTTGAATCTGCGTCAAAAAATATACCTTTTACAGTTTTACGTTAATTTCACGTCAAAAATGTTATAAAAAAATGCAGAAACTTTTGCATGTATTAGTTGCTTCGTATTTGACGCATGTCTACTATGTGGTAACGCCCAACCAAACAAACGGTAACTTTTTCTTACATCATGATTCATGGGGTTTAACTTGCGTTACAATTTTTTCGAGCATATGAAAAATTGAAGTTACACGCAAAAGTTTTACATCATGAGACCAACAAATATGTGCGCTCCGTTGGCATCTCCCAATTTTTCTGACGCCCTTATATTAATTGGTAAAGTTCCATTTATGTATGTGGCAATGGTTATTTACATTAATTATGAGTCCATTTGTTCGTGGTTTTTTATAAGAAAAGAATAATAATAATAATAATAATAATGTGACATTTATAGTGTTTTCGGGCACTAGAATCATAAACTTCTAAAAAATAGCTCTATTATTTTATTCATTAAGTTTAAACAAACGAATCTTATGTTAAGATTAAATTTCAAGAAACCCTACCAATTATATGTTATTTGAAAATATCCTTGTAATTCAAAACTGAACTACTCCACTCGTTCAATTTATCAAACTGTTCATATTGTCTTAAACATAAGAATTTTCATAAGAATTGGACATAAATCTCATAAGAATTTTCGAAATTTGACCAACATTTAGTCTTGTATCCTCAACTTAAACATAAGCATAGAATAATACTATATCCACAAGTGGGCCCGCGTTTTTCATTTAACTTTATTTCACCTAAGATTAATAAAGAGAAAGATGATTAATACAACTTCATGATATGTCTACTCTATTAGTATTACAGCCACCTCTCTTACAGTTACAGTACCCATTTATTGGTGAGTCAACTCTTTGAATCAATTGGCACAAATTGTTGGTTCATTTTTTTTATGGTAAAACAATGACAGTCGTGTTAAATTTATCTTCTAACTAATGCCTTATATTCATTAAGGAACTATGATATTTCTACATGTGTTTCCATTTCATGAAACGTGAATTAGACAACGCAGGCAAGGAATTTTGTCGCTTTAGAAATTCCAATCCAAATACTTGGGTCACTAGAGCATGAAGCAGGCATGACTAAGCAAGATCGAAAAGGACAAATGCACAGCTTTCACTTTGCCATTGATGAAGCAAAAGCGTTACCAGCCAAGGTGAAAGGATGCATGTCCAAAACCAAGAACACGACAAAGCGGGCCACTTTAACATTAATAGAAGGACATGGTGATTTGTTTTCCATCCCTGTATGATCAGAGAGACACATCACATGGCTTTGGTGTCCTCTTCATGTTCAAAGGGTCACATCCTCCTTTTTCCCAAATGCATTTATCCATCACTCAACCGAGTCAAGCATTCCAACATCATCACCAGTATCATTTACGTCTTAATTGACCATTTATCTTCATGCATGATAGATTTTACCAAACAATTCAACCAAAACTTATTAAAGGTCAACAAGTTCAACATCACCTCCACTCCATTCTCCATTGTCAAATCATGCATGCACCCTAAACATTTAGCCAAAATCAAACTAAAAGCAAAGTGCCGTACAAGTTAAGCGAACTATCTCACGCATTGATTTCCTAACGGATTAAGTATCGTATATATTGTAGCTAGCACAATGACTAGATGCCATATAGTTACAGTATTGGTTTATGAATGGTCCTAGCAGGAAAACAAAATCCAAAGGCTAGAGAGTAGGCTATAAACTACATTGTTTTAGGCATTGCTTCTCACCGTACACAAAGGGTTGTTGAGAAGCAAGGGTAATATTACATGTGATAGAAGAAGTGCACACTATTAACAATCATATCCTTCAGTAGTCTAAAGACCCCACAGTTGTTATTCCAGTGCTTAAATTTCTTGGGTCTTGACGGCTCACATAGTCATCACAGATGCCATTAGAGAGCCTTTTGAATTGGAACCGAGTTCAACAGTTCAAGGCCACTGTTGCCCATTTGCTGCACTTCCTGAGGAGAAAGTATCTTTATGCACCATACACTATTTACGAATTCCCTGTGTCATAAGATCAGGCAAATGTGACAAAGATGTACAGAAAAAAGGGGCATGATCATTCGATTTTAATAAATAAATAAATAACTTAAATGCACCACATATAAATCATCACCATATGGAAGGCCAAAAAGCAATTTAATATAAGTTGGTCACTTTCTCTACTTTTCAATTTAGTACTTAAAGGGAAAGATAAGAAAAAGAAAGAATAAGGCATGAGCAGTGTGGGAGACTTACGGCCAAGGGCCATCACCAAGGAGAAGAACATCATTCTCTCGGTCTACAAATACAAGCTGCCAGCCTGATCTCACAGGGTCCTCTAACTCGCCTTCAAGGCCAAACATTCGAGCAAGTTCTCTGCGCAGCTCATGGTAGCTGCTGAATTTAGTGATATCCAATGACCTTCCAAAGGACCCTGACTTATAAACCTGAAGCAAAAAACTTATCAAGTAAAAAATGCAAGACTCGAATAATGATTTTTTTTTATTGAAAATATAAAACGTCCCCGGAAAAACTCACCTTCACAAAGGTCTTGTTCAGTGGGTTTCCTTGTCCAGTATTTTCTGGACTCTGCAGGAAACCCGATTCGCCTATGTTGTGTGTCATTCCATGATTCAATGAAGAATCAGTGCCTGTAGTGGTATTCAGATAATTTGAAGATTGATACGGCAAGGTTGAGGAGTCGTTGTTGCCACTGACCCCCTTAAGGCTTGACATCCCATTAGGCATGAGAAGGGACGAGGGCTCTATATTAACGCCAAATAACAGACGGTTTTGTGGATCATTGCTCCCTTCTTGGTCTATTGAGCACTCCCTACCAGGAAAAGGTGGTAACGAAATAGCATTTTGAGACATGGTACTCTGTGGCTGTCCTAGCTGGTCCACCTGAGGTAGAACACATTGAGGGGCTCCAGAAGAAAGGAGAGGATCCACTGCAACACGCTTGGATGGCCATGCACTTGAATTTTGAACAGGAATCCAAGAGCTTGTTCTGGAAATGTTCAGTAGATGAGATGTCTCATCCTGGGGAAATGAACCCAAGATACTATGCAGGGGAGAAACAACAGTAGTCACTGGGTTTCCATTTGTATCAGAAAAATTTTGTTGTTGGCACAGGGAAGAGATAGCTTGCACAGGCGGTGATTGAGGTTGAGGTGCAGAAACAAACTGAGACATTGTAGAGACTGCACTGGAAATCTGCTGATTATCTACCACTTGCTGTTGCTGTTGCTGCTGTGTCTGTTGTAGTTGTTGCTGCTGCTGGTGATGATGATGCTGACTATTGAATGAATGTTGATGTTGTAGATGTTGCTGAAGATGAGCCTGAGTTTGTGGCTGAGATTGTGGTGAATGCTGATTCTCTTGATTATTTCCAAACATTTGCTGAGGTTGTGGCTGCTGCAACAACTGGGCCTGCATTAAAGCAGAATTTCTGTTTGGGAAGTTCGGTGGTTGCTGAAATTGAAGCAAGGAAGCAGAATGCTGTTTGGAAGGATCTAAACTCCTCATGTCCTGAACAGCAGCAGCAGCTGCAGCTTGATACAAATCTGTTTGCATATTCAACATGGAGGGATCAAATCTTGGCTGCATCCAAGGATTAACCCCAATCCCCTGAAAATTAAGAGACTGAAGCCCTCTATCAGTGTCTCGGAGCCACAACAAAGGTGAATTCATGCCAAAATCGTCATCCTTCATGCCTGATAGCATTTAAAGCAAGAAAAAATGGGATGATCAAACAAAATGAGTTTCCATCAATGCATAAATTTTACTAGCTAGAAAACATTGTGGATATTTTCAGCACTAGATGTAGCAAGAAGCTCACCATGGAATGAGGGCAGTCCTGGAGGCCATGGTCGCTTAAGCCTCAGAGGAAATGGGGATGGATACATAGGAAATGTAGTTAATGGCTCAATTTCCCATAGAGACACTCTAGGTTGCCTCTCTCCAGCAGTGGATTCATCCCAGCCAACCTGCAATCGGTGTCAAAACCATATTTTAAATTTCAAAATCGTTCCTTAAAAAATAGAAACTGTATATGAAGCAACACATTAGAAATTTTGCACCTGACATGAAAGATGCAGGCCAATGTAAATATGTAATTATAACACTTCAAGGTTATAACAATAGTGTTTCTATACAAACCTTGACTGAGCGCCAATGTGAGTTGGGCCACCGGACAGGATCCAGGTCACTAATGCCAGTTATTGTACCCATGTATCTGCAAAAGAGAGGTATTAGTATTTCATAATTACAATAGAAATAAGTATCACCAACTCTACAGAGTGATTAGCCATATTTATCCAGACAAATAGAAGTTTATTCAACCAAACTTTCAAGCTCATTCACAATTCACGAAGAGCATTACTAAGGATTAGAGGTTCATAACTAGCACAGCACACAAAGAAATCCATCTCTTCCATTTCATTGTATTGATCATACCTTAGGGTGTCATGTACCCATGTTTAGTAAGCCATCACAAATAAGATACAAATATGGCCTTATTTTAGTCACGGACACATCTTTGGGACATTTATCTTTGAACAAAACCCTTCCATTTGTTCATTGAATTGAAGCACAGATCATGAACAATTCAAATTCACTTACCTAATATCTGTGATTTAAGTGCATAATGATATGATTAGGATTCTTCAAGTCATTACAATTCTTAGAATATCCATTTTCCCAACTGCATCTTGCCTCATATTTAAAGCACTATATATGAGAAAATCACAGTCACTTCTCTAAAGAAGTCAAAAACTTTCTAAAATTTAAGCCAATACTTTGGGCAGCATGGAAAAGACAACAGTGTTTTCTAAATAATATGGTATATTATCCTTAACATACCAACATATTAAACATCAGAAAGGAAAATGTTTATACTTTATACAATATCATCTTCAACAATAAGTTTTAAAAACCTACCGCCGCACACTTGACTCCTCTGTTTCAAACAGCATCCTGAAACGCATACCAACTGAAACTCGAGTATGATACACAGCTTTAACATACTTGGCTAAGGGTATGACAAATTCTGATGGGCTAGCACTGAATATATGAAGAAGAAAATAATGTCAATCAAAGAAAACATTTCATGATATGAAAGCTTTACAAAGGTGTACTACTTATACCGTGGGTTGTAGAAAATGGTGAAACGACTATTTGTTGCAGCTGCATGAGCTGCTGCAGCAAGAAGCCCCAAGTGCATACTATCACTTGACAACACAGAAGAAGGCATCACGGTTTGTGGTCGATTAGCACGGCGGATGCCCAGAAGCAGTTGGTTCTTTTCATTCCTGTAGAAGAAAATGCACTTGAGTCACACAAGATAATATATCAGATGAAGCAACCACACATCTTAGAGGCTGGGCTGGTTCAAGGAGACAAGTCAATCAGCCACATAAGAGCCAAAGGGAAATTTTCAAAATTGAAATGATAAGAAAATCCAAGGTAGAAGGGCAGAATATTAATGTTGTTTATAATATAGAGGCATGCCACTTTAGGGAGCAGGAAAAAATAAAATTACTTGCCAGATAAACAGCACAGAATCACCGGCAACAAGTCTTTTAGCACTCACAAAGACACTCCATCCAGTTGTGAGTAGATGCCTTTTGGGCTGGCCTACAGAAGAAAAGAAATAAAGGCCAAGTTCAAACATTGTAGACAAGAAAGAAACATAGAACTAGAATACTCAGACTGACAGGAAAATTCCCACATATGCAATTAAATTCTAAGAAACTCAGCTTTATTACTCACCCCGGAAGATATGTCTGAATTTCCATTCATTGCCATGTAAATCCCTTGCAATTAATTCTTGAGCAGGTGGCTGTTGAGAGAAATCCTGCAAGGTGACAATTATAAATTTAATGCCAGAGAAATCAACGGTTTTGATGAATAAGTTGACTTAAATAACATGGTCTTTTCCACAAAGGTTTACCAAAGGAGGAAACACTTTTTCAGCTGCCCGGCGAGGTACGGAGAATCCTCCATGAGTGCTTGTGTCACTGGCAGTCAAAGTTTTGCAGAAATAGTTTGTTGGCTGTTTACTTGGAGTGCCCAACTCTGCCGGCAGGTATGCTTCCTTTTGCTCTTGCTGCAAACATGGCCATAGTTAAAAGCTGAAGAATGACTATATAACTACAAAAGATGCAAAACCAGTTATCACTTCTGAGTTCAGCCTCAGGCAGTGTTATCATACAGGATTCAGAGGTTGCAAGGTCATCTGTGCATACACCTCATCAGTCTCCACATCAGCCTGAATCCCAAATGAACAAACAGATAATTAGAGACAGAGGGTGCAGGAAGCAACAAAGGAAAAATTGAAACAAGTGAAGGCCAACATAAACCAGTCCTATTACTGATTTACTATTAAAAAGAAAAGTAAACAAAATAACAAATCATACATGCATAGTCATATTATGAAGTTGACAAATGAGTTGAGGAGGCAAGCTTGGATAGTTTGGGATATGAGCATCTACTTCCTTGTTGGTCGACACAGCCACCTGAGAGGGAAAAGTGTCAAGTAATGATACTTGAGAGCATGCAGTTTACGCAGAAAAAAAAAATGAGAAGCTTTTGAACGTAAAAGATCATGTGCTGGTTTTTGGGAGGCAAGTGAAGTTACTTCATTTATGTGGGTTGATTCATTAGCCTGCAACAGCTGAAAACCAAAGAATTTGAGCTTGGGAACCACTTGAGTATTAATATCCACATGGCTTCGCCAGGGTGAAAGAAAAAACAGGTTTTGCTAAACAAAAGGGTAACAGTAAACCCCACCCCATCCTCCAAATTAGAAGCAATACGGAGACAGAGACAAGAGACAAGAGAGCATCCTCATGCCCAGAAACACAAGATTCGCATTATTACTTTATTCTCAACATTAGTAAGAGAATGTTATCACAATGTCCACAAGAGTAGCAGCAATACAATAATCAAACATCATAATTTTTTACTCACTTGCTCACTGTGACCTTGTGGAAAGTATACCACGCGGCTTCCAACTGCTGGTAAAGACACAAGGGGACCAGCACATGCATGCCAAAGTTCTGAATCTAGAACTCGCTTTTCCCCTGCAAAATCCACCCCAATGTCATCAAACATGGGATAAAAAGAGCCCACACCGAGCCTCAAAGGACAAACTCGTTTTGGCATACTCTTAGCAAATCCAAGATCTTAAAACCATTGCCCAAATCCCAGAACCAAAATCACTTTTTTTCTGATCTCTGAGTCATGGCGTAAACAAGAGAAGCCATGGTTCAGTTTTCACAGGACCACATCCCCGCCTCAAAAAAATTGAGAAAAAAAAAAATAGCATCAGCCATGTTAAACGTACAAAAGACTTCATTAGCTGGGCTACACAATTTTTTAATTTATTTTTCTTCACATGTATCCTTTTTTTCTGAGACAATTATGACACAATCTTGTCCGAGTCAAGATAGACACATTTTTGTGTCTAGACACCTCTTTTTATAGGAATTCGAATCTTAGTAACCCTTTCTGCGAGACCCAACTTCGTTGGTTATAGATTAAACATTATCACACAGAATTGAAAAACAAGAAGAAGAGATGAAACAAGAGTGTTTATGTTTACCTTCCTGGGGTGGAGGACTAAAACCAGCTGAAGAAAGTCTCATTTGAGCAAAAACAAAGACTAAAACAAACAAGCAACCTCAAAATTGAGCCAACAATCACAACACTCTCAAGCGGAACAATTAGGCAACAAAATTCTCAACAAAAAAAAACAACGACACCCTCCACAGAAAAATCGAGCCTTGTCCTCTCTTCCTCAACACAACATAATAACATTCTTCGCTACCTTTGTCCCAGTACTTCACCAACCAAAACCCATTACAAAAATCCAAAGACACCCACAAGATTCCCACCCTTGAAGGCTCAACCAAAACCAGTGTCGCAACAAAAGACAATTGCTTTACGCCTCATTCGGTTGCACTCTTCCTGAACCCCCAACACCCCAGGTTGCAGCCCTCAACTGAAGTCCTCATTACACACGTGGGCAATTGTTTGTGCCAAATTTAGCAAGAATCTGAAAGAGCGAGGAGACCCAGAAGCGGAAGAAAGTGGAAAAGGAAACAGATCTCAGAGAAGGGGTGGATCTCAGGAAATGGAGTAGAAATGGAGAGTGAGCGTTTGGGTGATTTCCGGTTATGGAAAAATGGTAAGTAGTAGCAGTGGTTGTGTGTTGTGCTTGTGCATAGTTTTTATGGTTATGCGTTGTGGTCTTGCTCATGTAGACATGTTGCTACTACTACTGCTTCTAATAACTTTGGTGTGGCCATGCTATGCTACTATAGCTTTACCCCTCCTCTCTCCCTCACACACTCTCTCTCTCTCTCTCCTCCAATCAATCACAACGCAACCGCCATTATTTTTGGGTGTCCTTTTAATAGAGTGTGTACGAGTGTCACATTTTTTCTACGGAGAGAGAGTGAGGGCTTTGCATTTTTATTATTATTACTTTTCGTGCCTACGATTTCATTTTCATACAACCAAAGAGGGAGATTTTAGATGCCTAAGCCTTCACATTTCCCCTGCCACCCTCATAATTATGAGATAAACTTTCATTAATTTGAGTTAAGTTAGTGGTAAAGTAGTGTTTTTAAGCAAGGGATAAAGGACAAAAATAAGCTTGTGTTTACTAAAGGAGGAAAGAAATATGTGAAAAATAGAGTGAAAAAATAAAGAAAAATAGATTTAAAAAAATAATATAGGAATTTAGTTATTTGGTTAAAAGAAATAGATAAAAAATAATAATAAATGAGAAATATGTGAGAAATAAGATATTTATAAAATATATATATATATAAATAAAAATAAATAAGAAGGTGAGACTTACCACTTTTTTAATTTCTTTTCATTCTATTTCTCTTCAATTAAACAACTTTTCTTATTTCCACTCTTTTCATCATATTTCTTATCTATTTCTTTCCTACCAAATAAGGCATAATAGATAAAAAAAATAAAAAAAAAATAAAAAACTACAAATAATTAATAAGAATAGTATTACACTTGCCCCTCTTCAATAGAAATTTGAGAATTTTTTGTTTTTTGTGTGAAAATAAAATGTTGGAATGAGAGATTTTATTAAAGAAAAAAATAATACAATTTTTAAGAATAATTATAATTATACTTAAAAATTGTATTTAAATTTTGTTCATCTCATTATAGATGAATGGTCAATTTTTCATATAAAAATAAGATTAATCATCAATAAACTTTAATAGATGGATATAGCTTATAAAATAATATATATATATATATATATAATAAAATAAAAAGAGACAAAGATTATTCTCTAAGTTAGCTACTTTTGAATTTTCCTTTTATATGTGAAAATGGAACTTAGTATTAAGATTTACACCAATCCACGTATTATTTTCAAGATTAAACATATATTTTGGTTGATATTATTATATTGGTTTTTGAAATTAAAAAATTATCAAATAAGTATTTAAAATATTAAATAAGTCATTAAATTTAACTACTTACTATCATTTTCATATATGAATATGTATCAATTAGATTTTAGCATGTGTAACGCACAAATTGAATATTTATTATATATAACTAAAATTTATTAAAAAAAAATATATGCAAAATATATATTATGTTTAAATATATAAATTATATTTAAAAAATTATAAATAGATATTTAAAATATATAAATTATATTTTAGATTTGTGATAATATTTATATTATAGCATAATATTATTTTTATTTATTGATAATTTATTTAAAAATATTAAAAATTAATTTATAAATAATTATAATAAATAAAAATTAAATTAGATAAGAAATAAAAAAAATTAAAAACTCTCTTGTCGAAGAAAAATCTCTAAAGACAATTTTGTATAAGATAAATATTTGTGTTTAATATATAATAATTAATATTATCATTTTGGTTACGTACTTTTTTATGTTTCTGGTTAATATGGTTGTGAATTTGTACTTTCACTTTCACAAACATATTCTATATTTTCTTAATTTTAAGCACTAATATGATAATATTTTTCAAATTTGGAGACCAATTTGGTTTATTCTATTTTCAACTAATTAATATAATTGTTTAATCCATTGCATGATGAATAATGATGATAGTTCTATGTATATTGATCTAAGATAATAGATGTAGATGTTTGTATGTTAAATTTATTGATAAGCATTGGTATGTTGTACTTGAATGGTATTTTTGGATTTCTATATGTATTGACTTATCTGATCCTTTTTGGAAATCTAATCTACCCGAACTTGTTTTCATGTGGTTGTACTGCAATAATTATACTTGGTATTAGAACATAGCACAGATAGGTTTAAGGAGATGTACAATAGGAGGTCATCAAATGGATGGTGGTGCAGTTGATTGTTTTTGGTGCTACTTTTGTATAACTTTTGTATAAATGTTACTTAATTGGTAACTTAGGTTGTATATTTGAGATTTATTGGGTTACTACACTTATACTATATTATATTTGTATAGTTATTTTACACTTGTATACATGTTATATGGTACATATCCAAATATTTGTAAATATATAATTCTAAGTATTTTGTAGTAGTTTCACTGTAACATTGTTAAAAAAAAAATAAAAAAAAAAGGTTGATTCAGTAGTCCAGAACGGGCCGTTCCCAAACTGGAACGGACCGTTCCAAGCTACTGAATTGAACTACATATTTTAGTTGAGAACGGGCCGTTCTGGGAAGGAGAACGGGCCGTTCTGGGAAGGAGAACGGGCCGTTCCGGAGGGAGAACGGGCCGTTCCGGAGGCAGAACGGGCCGTTCCGGATGAGTCCCGGAATGGGTCGTTCTGATTTCAGAACGGGCCGTTCTGGGCGTGGATTTTGTGCGTGATCTGGGAGTTCAGAACAGGCCGTTCCGGTATCGGTACGGGCCGTTCTGGTCACTCCGGATTACCTATAAATAGGGGATGATTTTGACCCTTTAATGTAAATGTATTATTAGTCTATGATGCTTCTTTCTAGTTTTTCCTTCTTTTTAATTTAATTGCTCTAAGTTTATTACGAACAGGTGAACAAGATTTGGGAGGAGTTAGAAGGGTATAAGAAGAAGCTTGCCCGCACTGAAGCAATATATGTCAGTTTTTAATTATTAGTCTTCCTGTTCTCGTCTAGTGTTGGGTATCCTAGTTTTATCTGGAGTTATTCTGCTACCGGTTCTTCTGCCCCTTTCTATTACTGACAATGGTGGGAAGAAACAAACAACTAGTGAAGGAACTTTCAATGAGCTTGACAAGTTATCAATGGCTAACATCACGGTAAGATCAGTGTTGGGTAGCATTTTTTCAATAGTATAATAGTAAACTTTCCTTTTATTCAACTAATTAAATGTGTGTATGTGTGTGAAAGTAATGACCCATATTTTTTGAGTTAAACAGCTAATCAGTTTCTTTAATACCTTCAAATGATAACAATGTAAGAGACTGAATGACTTTTTGTGTGTGCAGGCAAAGAGTTCAAGGTTGTGGGGATTTCTCATTGCCTGCTATTGGGTTTCAGTTGTTACGTATGTTCTCCTATGGAGGGCTTACAAACATGTGTCATGGCTGCGATCTGAAGCTTTTAAGTCTCCTGATGCAAAGCCTGAACAGTTTGCTATAGTTGTGAGAGACATACCTCCTGTTCCTCAAGGTCAGACTAGGAAGGAACTAGTTGACACTTATTTTAAAGCCATCTATCCTGAGACATTTTACAGGTCTATGATTGTAACAGACAACAAAGAGGTATGGGATTGTTCCATTTCCTTTTCCCGTACCCTCTTGATTAACTTCAATATTTCTTATTCCTTATCAGAGTTTCGATAGGTGATGCATGCAACACCCATTTGATATGGTCATACATCATAGATATGAATAGAGATGAAAGGACACGAGGGAAGCTCCACAAAAGTAGCCCGTTATATTGATTAATATGAAAAGAAGCAAATGACTGTGATATACATGCTCTATTTATAGAGCTTATTGGATTAGTTACTAACAATCAGCAAGCTAATTAACCAACTAACTTACAATCTATGACCAACTAACATAACTGATCCTATAGCACAAGCCTTGCATTGGAGTGCATCTTTCCTTTTTCTGATTTCTGTGGCATTTAAGAACCTAAGAGAGAATGCAGAATGTCTAATGATTTTGACCCTTTAATGTAAATGTATTATTAGTCTATGATGCTTCTTTCTAGTTTTTCCTTCTTTTTAATTTAATTGCTCTAAGTTTATTACGAACAGGTGAACAAGATTTGGGAGGAGTTAGAAGGGTATAAGAAGAAGCTTGCCCGCACTGAAGCAATATATGCAGGGTCTAAAACAACTGCCAAACCAGAAGGAACAAGACCTACAAACAAGACTGGATTCCTTGGACTGATTGGTAAAAAGGTGGATAGCATAGAGTATTACAATGAGAAGATTAATGAACTTGTTGCCAAATTGGAATCTGAGCAAAAGGTCACGCTCAGAGAGAAGCAGCAAGATGCTGCTCTGGTATTTTTTTCAAATAGGGTGGTTGCAGCATCTGCAGCTCAGAATCTTTAATGTAAATGTATTATTAGTCTATGATGCTTCTTTCTAGTTTTTCCTTCTTTTTAATTTAATTGCTCTAAGTTTATTACGAACAGGTGAACAAGATTTGGGAGGAGTTAGAAGGGTATAAGAAGAAGCTTGTATATTTATGCCTGTATGTATGTGTTATCCAGTTTAATATTTTTTTAGTTAACTAATTGTAGTGCGATTCCACTAAGTGTAGAGACCGTGGCGGGTCGTTACATTCACTACTAATTAGTGATTATAAATTAGTGATTATAAATAATGTAGTAATTATGATGAATTGTTACATTTTTTTTCGCTCGATATTAATTAACATTATTTTATTAATGCAAGGATTCAAAATTTTAATAACTTTTGTATTTTTTTTTTATTTTTTTGCTATAAGGTAGAAATGTTTGAGGAAAAATTCCTATTAATTTAATTTTAAATTCAATAAAAACATCTTATCTTAAATGTTTTCTTAAAAAATATTTTTCTTCATCATGTTATTTTTTTTCAATTATAAAACTCAAGCTTAAAATCTGATTAATGTTTATTTCAAGTCATCTTCCTCTATTCTCATAAACATCAAGGTGAAAACATTTATTATCCCGTTATTAGAAGATCATACAACAAGATTCATAAATATCTTTTATACCCATAAAAGTTATAATTATCATGATTAAAAGAGTTTTATTCTCATGGAAAAAAGGTGGGTAAGGAATACTCATGATAATAATATAGGAAGTTATTTTCTATAATAGTACTTATAACTTCCATTTTTATTTATTTCTTATTTAAATAATTTTAAATTTTATAAAGTATTCTTAAAAATATTAAAATTATCCAAATATTTTTTTTAAATATTTCCAAAATTAATATCCCATATTATTTTAAAAAATACAATATCATTTCATAGAACAAATTTTATAAATTCAATTTATTTCATACCCAAAATATACTTAGTTGTTGAAAAAAGAAAAGAATCTTGAAGTTTTAATGTATATATAAGTTATAAATGTGTTTAGATTAAATTAAATTAGAAGGTACAAGCTTTGAGAATAATATTAATTTTGAAGAATATTGGGGGAGTGTGGGGTTAGAAGTGTATGGTGAAAAATGTAAGGGCAGAAAGGGTGATTTAAGAGAAAGTTGGAGCCATTGCAAAACGTGAGTGCAGGTGCATTGATTTTGACAATGCAATGACCCAACTCGGAGAATCATAAGGTAGGGCAGATACAGTGTCAAATATTGTTAGCCTTTATCTCTTTAGATGTGAAATCCTAATAAGAATCACTTTAGTAACCCAATTAATTTTGAATTTTCCCTTTGGTCCCCATATAGCTTCAATATTTTGGATACTTCGATCAACTAGAGAATTTATATTTTATCAAACTATGTTTCAAAGTACATCATGTTTTGAAGAGTTAATGTTTAGTTATATAGAGGGCGAGAGAGTAGTCTTACCAACCACTCCACCAAACCATGAAAAGTGTCGCATTTTTTTTTAATAAATCATCAATTTAATTAATCGATGCTTAAGAACATGCTTTTTTAAGTATCTACAAATATGATTCTATCTCATATAAGTTATTGTAAAATAGAAGTGTAATTTTTTAAGTATTTTTGTTAGTATTAAAAGATGCTAATATTGTATTGCTATCTTCTCTTATATTAAAAAAAATACAATTTTCTTTCAAGATAAATTTAAATATATGACATTTTATGTACTTTTAAATTTTTTTGTTTACTTTTGATAAAAAAAAGTTATTACCAAAATATCACTTACATTAAATCTCTACAATGTAAATATTACTTTACTTCTATTGTTAAAATAAATGTTTTTCTCCCTTAACAAATATAGATAGATATGTTACACTTTTTCAATTTTTTTTATTTAATTACATATTTAATTATTATTTTTAAAAATATTATGAATTTCCTAACATTAATTATATATTTAAAATAATTTTTTTAAATATTATTTTTACAAAATGCTTTTTAAAGTTATCGAAATATATTACATGTGTGCATGATAGAGCTAGACTTAAAAGTTAGGAGGACAATAATAAAAAATTTAAAAAAATATTCATTCAATAAATATAAATTTATAATAAAAATAATATTTATAATAATAATTTTAAATAAAGAAAATATTTTATTAATTATATTTTAAAATATAATACGAAAATAAATAATGTTACTCACTATATTATCTTTTAGAATAATATATATTATGTACATTTAATTACCTATGTTTTTCATAGTTTACAAAGAAACATATGCATTTAAGGTAAAAACACTAAAATTTCACAAATGCATCTCTCGTAGGAAAAGTGTGTGCAATTTATGTTAAATTAAATAGATTAAGTATTGTATATTTTTAAATGTATAAAAAGGAATAGTTGTATAATATTATTATTTTTTGAGAGAAAATGTAATTTGCTGTAAAGTGTATAATTACATTTCTGACACTTATTTTGTTTGAATAAAATATATAAATAATTAAAATAATATTATATTGTAATATAAATTATTTATTATAAATTTAAATATTTAAAAATATTTTTTTATTATAATATATATATACACGTATTTCTCATTGTGAATTTATAAAATAAATATATATCATATATATATGTCTTATAGTAAATATTTTTTATTTTATTAATCAATTTTTAAAAATTAAATTAGACAAAAATTCACTATTATAAGACAATTACAAAGCACGTAACTGTTAAAAAAAACAAATTATAATACATATTATTTTTGTAATATTATTTTATAGATGAAAATGAAGGTTAGACCCAAGTCTCAATAACTATTCTCAGTGACAATATATTAAATTTGATTGAAATATTTTTTTTTTAATTATCCCGTGAACTATATTTTACTAAAACGTAATCTTCAAGTTTCATTTTTCCCATGACTCGAGAAAGAGCAGCAGAGTAGCAGCTTATATTGCCAATTTTGGCCATTTTGATGATAAATATTGAATTACAAAACATGACGTTTTAGTATTATTTGTTAGATTTTTGTATTTATTTACGGCATATAAAATTTTACATTATCAATCAATTAAAATTTATTATTAAAAAACCAGTAAACTTCATATTATTAGGCCATCATCAACAACTGCTGGTGCTTATCAACTTTTCTTATTAAGCACAATACTTGTTTCATAAGATTTTGTCATTGGAGCTGGTGCTTAAGGTACTAAGATAAGTACATGTTTTTATACTAAATTTTCTCCTCAGTGATATTAAAAAAGTAATTAATTAAAAATTATATGATAAAATGTAAGAATGTGAAGGTATTTGTGGATTCATTTAGTAAAATTTTGAGAGTTGTTGTATTGAAGAAATAAGTTATATACTTAAATTTGAAATAGTAAAAATTGAATAATGTGTAATAGCACTAAAGAAAATTCTCATACAATACTTGTCACAAAAAATATTTGTACCTGCATTATAAATATAATATATATTGGTAAAAAAATATAAGTATAAACTATAATAACATATAATATATATGATTAAATTTCATTCAAAATCAGTATTAAGATTATGTGTAACTATGTGTTAAATAAATTTATACTTACATATATTATATCTATAATAATATTTTTTGTATGTTATTGTATATAACATTTTTTTTTAATATGGTGAAATCTATTTAAAATTCGTAAAAAGTAAAAATGAGGTTGTTACCGGGATAAAAATGCTTATACATATCACAAATTATGATTAGATGTAAATAAAAAAAATAATAATAAAATACACTATTCATATATTCTTAGTCCAAGTTTTATCTACATTTTCATATGCTGCAGTTATATAATTTCGGGTGTTTGTATTCACCACGTGATTGGTTGAAAACTTGAAAAGGTAGTATCAGCTAGCGTGCTGTTTTAATAAATAGGCAAACTTTAACGAGAGTTGCTATTTAATTTGCACTTGTCGTAATTCCAAGAGCAACACAATACTCTCTCCATTGTAAATATATTGCAACTTTAACATTAAATTTTTTTAAAGAAATAATATTCTCATTCTTTAATGTAATATCATTTTTTAACTTGTTAATTTATAAATTATTAATTAAAAGTAATATATTTATTAAGATAATAAGATATTTTAGCAAAATTGTATGCAAAAATAATATATTTATCAATATTCTTAAGTTGTATATTAAAATTTTAAATTTTAGTCAATTTTAAGATCCTGTATAAAATTATGCCTATGAATAGAAAAAAAAAAGTTTAAATATGTTTTTAGTCCCTCAAATTTAAGACAAATTTGTTTTTAGTCCCTCAAATTTAAAACTGTTGTTTTTCGTCTCTGTAATTTTTAAAAATCTTGTTTTAGTCTCTTAAGTCACTAATAACATATTTAAAAGTGACTAATTAAGACAGTTATGCAATATCAATCAAATTTAATGTGATATTTTCACTAATAAAAATATCAATAGGTAGATTTTATGCAATAATGTTTGATAAATTTCTTAACAAAATTTGAATATAAGGACTAAAATAAGATTTTTTTGAAATTACAGGGACTAAAAATAACAATTTTAAATTTGAGGGACCAAAAATAGATTTATCCTAAATTTGAGGAACTAAAAACATATTTAAGCAAAAAAAATTATTGTAAAATTTTAATATACAAATAACTTAATTGTTTTTTAACGTATATTTCTGTCATTATAAGTAAATGAAAATATTAAGAATCACTCATATCTACAATCATTTTGTTTTTTAAAGAGTAACAAGACTTTATCGTTCATTCTCACCAATCCAAATTAATGTAGGATCAAGACAGATAAGAGCAAGTCTAAACTCTAATTAACAAAAGTAGCTAAACTATAAACCACTCTCATTCCTCGATGCCACCCATATGAGATTCAGTTTATCCCCTTTTGAGGGATCAGATTGAGTAGTATTGGTGTAGTTAGGATTAGTAGTGTCAAATTAATAAGAAGTTGGAGCAACATGCCCGTCATGATTATTGTAA